CCCCCCAGCTGCTCTGTCCCAGGTGTCCCCAAGAGCAGCTGGGGGGGTGCTGCCGGGTTGGTCTCGCCGCGCCAAGGGTGGGCGGTACCGGACCAACCCGGCAGCACTCCAGCTGCTCTGCTGCAGGCATCCCAGATTCAGCTGCTGCAGAAACTGACCAGCAGCAGCTGAATCAGGGACGCCTGGGGCAGAGCCAGACTATCGGAAGGGGGGGGCTATGAGGGGTCTGGGGTGTCACCCCCCCACCCCAGACTCCTCATAGCCCCCCCCTTCCGATAATCTGGCACCCCCTGGGTCCTAAAGATGCCAGATTATCTGAAGTTTACTGTATTTGTCCTGGTAGACACACTAGGTTATCATAAAAGCATTCCACTGTCACTCCCTTTTAGAGTCAGATTATGTGCCATATATCATATATGGACCAAGCTCTTAGGATGACACCTAAAAACTCTAAGGCTATGTCTACACTGCCCCTCTTATGCTAAAACATATGCAAATGAGGTGAAGCATGGAATATCATGCCTCATTTGCATAATTAATGAGGCTCCACTTTTGCACCAAAAGGAGCCATCTACATAGCTTCTTTTTGCCCAAAAAACCCCTTGAACAAGAGCCTTTATTCCAGAAAAAAACGCAGAACGGTTCTTGCGCAAGAGAGGAGTTTTGCACAAAAATGGAGCCTAATTATGCAAATGAGGCAGAATGATAGTCCATGCTTCCTCATTTGCATATGTTTTTGCACAAGATAGGGGCAGCGTAGAAATAATCCACATTCTAACGGGCACATTTTTCAATGACACACAAACAGCCAACAGCACATGGCTTTAAATACCCGGGCTATGTCTACACTCGCAGCATCTTGCACAAGTGTTCTTGTGCAAGAAGTCTTGCTCAAGAAAATGTCCACACTGCCATGTGCGATCTGTGCTTTTGCGCAAGAGCGCCCATGGCAGTGTGGACACTTTCTTATGCAAGAAAGCTCTGATGGCCATTTTAGCCATAGGGGTTTCTTGCACAAGAAATCCCTGCTGAGCGTCCACACTGCCCTCTTGCTCAAGAGCTCCTGCGCAAGAGGGCTTACACCTGTCAAAAAAGAATGTAGCTCTAGTGCAAGGAGCCCTCTCTTACCACACCGTACTGTAAATTTACTTGCACAAGAGCAGGCGGGCAGTGTGGATGCTCTGCAGATTCTTGCGCAAGAACGTAGACATAGCAGATATCAGCATCACTGCAGTGAGGACCGAAGAAAAGTGAATCACAACAAGTGCTGGTCTTTCTGCAATTGTGTGTAAGACTGTGCTCTTCCTTCCAAGGAAAACCAAGGGAAGAGGGCCCTACCTCTCATGTGAGCTTAAAAACTGACACATTCAATTCACATTTAAGCAGGACAAGAAACAGACAGTTCACTGCTAGACATCAACTGTAGGAAATTAGGAAATGAAAACAACTGAATGCCTGATTTTTCCTCTTCTTGGCCAGCAATATCTCTGCATTGGGGAACGATACTCCTGGAGAGGTCTCTAGCTTCAGAGGGAATAAACAAAAGGGGCACTCAAGTCATCCATCCTATCATTTACCCCCAGCATTTGGCAGACAAATGCTAAGTCAGTGAGTGGTGTCCAACCTTTTTAAATTCAAAAAAGTGATCTCGTGCTTAAGTGCAATCCAGGATCTACCTCAAACCCAAAAAACCTTGCCCTACCTCCTTTGTGCCCCTTGTCCAAGGCCCTGTACCTGCTTACTCCTTCCTCCCTTTCATCATGCAGGAGCACAGTTGGAGATGCAGGCTCTGGTCTTGGGTTAAGGGATTTGGAGTGTGAGGGGCTCTGAGCTGAACCTGGGATTGGGGTGCAGGGAGTTCAGGGTATAGGCTCTGTAAGGGAGTTTGGGTCTGGGGGGGACTAAGGGCTAGGGCAGGGGCTTTGGAGTGCAGGAAGGGATTTATGACTGGGGCAGGGGTTCCAGATGCAGGCTCCAGCTAGACATTGTTTACCACAGGTGGTGCAGTGGGGCTAAGGCAGGCTCACCCCTGCTCTGGCCCTGCACCACTCTCAAAAGCAGCCAGTAAACTCTCTCCATCCAAAGCCCTGTTGTGCTCCCTTCCATTCTATGGAGATAGACTGCAGGGTAAGAGAGGGGGCACCCTGACATCAGCAACACCCCCTTTTCCCTGCCCAGCAAGCAGGGGTAGGAGGAACAGCTCCAAGGCAAAGGGCAGATGGTACAAAGCAGTCAGGGGAGGGGCAGCTGAAGTGCCAGCATTTGATAGCCTCTGGGCCAAACCAGTCAGGATCACCTGTCCAGAGGCTCCAAAAACTACCAGTGGATCCTAATCTACTAGTTAGTGACTGCTGTGCCAAGAACACTCTTTACATGGGGTTGTATCCTCATCCATCTTGGGTAATAACCATCAATCTAGCTATCTTACATGAACATGTTGAATTATCTTTTTGAATTCCATTATAGTTTGTCTTCACAACATCTCCTATGGGGAGATATTCAAATAGCCCATCTGAAAAATTAGTCCAGAGAGCAACAGGTTGTCTATATAAAGCAAAGCCCCTAATATCAGGATGTTCCTGATAATATCTGACCACCTTTATCCCTAGGCAATGGGTTTCACAGATTGACTGTGTTGTGGGACTGCCTATTAATTTCATTTGGTGACTCTTAGTTCTTGCATTATAAATACTTTCTCCACACCAGTCATGTTATAGAGCTATCATAGCACTGAACTATAATCCCAGTCTTTTTAATCTTCTCATAATGAAGCTGTTCCATAATCATTTTTGCCCTTTAATTCCAATACTCCTTTTTTGAGATGGGGCAACTGGTATTCAAAGCATAGACATTTTTCTGTGTTATCCTTTGCCTAGCACTGACTGTCACTGCAGATGTTTTGAGAGAACAATTCACAATGACTCCAAGATAATTTTGACAGGTAACAGCTACTTAGCTTCCATTTTGTATCCATAGCCATTTATTAACCTTTAATTCCATTTGTCTGTTTTGGCTCAGTCACCCACTTCTATGAAATTTATAGCTCCTCAGCTTTATATTCCACTATCTTGAGCAATTTTCACCAGTTTATCCTTATTTTCTAAATCATTTATCAATACATTGATCACTACTGGTCCCAGTACAGGAACACCACTGTTGACCATTCATTCTTATCCTGTATTTCCCATTTTCAATAATTACCAATCCACAGGGCTCGACAAATTAGTCAATCTACTTGCCCGGGGCAAGTAGATTTTAAGGCGGCACCGCACCGCAATCAGCACATGCGCAGCGCTCCAAACTGCACAGCTAGCGAGCAGGGCTCGCCCCCGCTTGTAAAGCCCTGCCGATCCATAAGAGGACCTTATCACAAAATTGTTACTACAATTTTATGACATTACTAGCTCTTGCTGCAATAAATGATTGTTTTTTCAATATATGCACTGAATAATACTTCAGTATGAAGCTGTGTAAAAATGTCAAATTATAAAAACAAAAGCCTATAAAAATGTAATAAAGGATGTCTACATGAAAAGGCAAGCTGTCATAGCACTAGTATCTTACTGTAATTCCATAAATTAAGCTGAAAATTCTCAACGTTTAAGATAAAATGAGGTAGTTAATGACAACAATACATTCTACATTGAGACTAAGTAACTTCCATATGTTAAAGGATGACTAATTTTCTTCACTATATGCTTTATTTATGGAAGATTCTCATTCCATTTATATATAAATTCATATTTACAGTGATATACATTGCTTGACTACAATACAGTACCAACATCTTTAAAAAACCATATAATATTGTTGAAATGGAAGACAAGAAAATATTTAAGCAGTAACTAATATGAACACTAGTTTGCTTTGTGCATCTTTTTCTAACAGCAGCCTCATCTAAAAGAACTGTCAATTTAGAAAAAGTTCTTTAAAAGACAAAAACCCTTTAAAAGAAAAAAAATAACCTTAAAATAGGCCAACTGAAACAAGGATTAGTGCTCTGCATTAATCATTCTGTTAAAAAAAAGGATCTACTTTGAAAAAATGTTAGGACATCTTTAATTATAAATAAGCAGGGAACTGTTCAAGATCATTCAAAGAGAAAAAATAACCTTTAATATGGTCCAACTGGAATCTCTAATCTTTCTCAATAACAACATGGTCAGACACAAACACAATGTTATGGGATGTAAAATGGAGGCACTTTTAAGTGCTCCAATGAAGACAAAAGGATTTCATCCTTCAGGAAAAGAAAAGAAAATCACAGCTAGTTTTTATTCTTGATTCTGTTTTCTTTTGCAACTATATTCTAAAGTGCTACTGAAATAGGAATTCAAACCAAAGGCAAATTTTCAATTAGCAGCACATTTAGCAAGTCATAATACAGTAGTGATCTGTAGAATGCAAGTCTTATACACTCAGTACAAATTATATTGTATTTCCAGTACAAAAAGGTTATCTTTCAATAAAGGACTTTACTGGAGGTAACAACTGTTGTATTTGCTGATAACAAAAACCTTGATGCTGTTATCAATTGCTACAAGGAGAAAAATCGTCAGTTATGGATAAAAGTGATGGTATATCCTAACAGGACATTAAAAAGCTGAGAAATATATTTAGAATACTTTGTGAACATTTGTGTATTTACAATCGATGCTCAGGGCAATTCACTGTACAATGTTTTACGACAGACGTAGGAAATAACAAAATTCAAGCCATTCAAGTACTCTGCTACTGTGACTATGTACATTAACACAACTAGTTTATGAGTCCACAGGTCTACATTATTAGACAGATAAAAATGTTTCTTCATCTGTTATAGAACCTGCAGCACATGTAACATCCATATAATTTATTTAAACAAGTCATTTTGACAATCTAGACAGTGACAACATTTACTGTACAGCGATTTTTTACTGTACTGCTGTAAACACATTTAAAGCAGCAGATCATAGCAATCTTTTGCTTCTGTAAAATTTAGCTCACGAGTTCAGGCTGTACATTTATTCTTCGAAGGACATCTTCAGGCATACAAAAAACAGGACTGACAGGCTTAATTTGTTCTTCTCCTAACAATGATAGCCCAGCAATTCCAAATAAGGTGTGAAAAGGGTCCACCTGGGAAAAAATTAAACACTAGTTTATACACATTGACAACTATAACTCTTTGGATGAATTTACAGTGAGATGACTGAGTTGCTAGAAGGGACTGAGAAAGCTCAATGGTTGTCGATTTAATTTCAGACAATGCAGGTATGCTAATTCCTGGTTTTTAAGTATTCATTTATTTACTTCTAATATTTTAAAGTTTCACAGGTTACATCTGATTATCTAAAACCAGTTCTGCCATAAATGTATTTTTCACTCAACATTATATTTCTTTTTGGCAATCTCTGAACATAGAACAGTGCTAAAAAGGTCTTAGAGGGAGCCAAAGTAACATGATACACAACTGGACGGAAGAAAAAAAAAATCATTCTCCAAGATTCAGAGGTTCCTTCATGAGATTAGAAATTTCCCAGAAGGCAGCTATGCAGCTTGCATATCCCTACACAAACACAGAACACTAATTACTATGCCTCTTGTGATTTAGCTTGCATCCTCCAGGATCTACTCCACCCCATCCATCCCTCACTCCCCACATCTTCACTCACTTTCACCAGACTAGGACAGTGGGTTGGGGTTCAGGAGGGGGTGCAGGCTCTAGGTTGAGCCTGAGGCAATTGGGGTTGAGGTACAGGCTCTGGAGGGAATGTGAATGTAGGAAGGGTTTCTGGGAGGGGGTATAGTGCTGGTGTGCAGGCTCCTGCTGGACAGCAAGGATGCCTGCCCCTATCCAGGGGCTGTAAGGGAATGCTGGCTGCTTCCAGGTGTAGCAGGCAGACCAGAGCAGGCAGGGAGTCTGCCTTAGCAGCAGTTCCACTCCACCACCGGAAATTGCAACTAACTGGAACAGTCTCTATAACTGAATAGTCAATTGCGATGAACCTGTTTGACCACTGCCCTATAGATATTGCTTTAACTTACAAGGAGCTAACCAGGTACACCAACACAAGATGATACTCTCTTTTTGAGCTGGGGGAAAAAAGGCTAAGAAAAGCAATAGTCGAGAATCACAGCTGAAATGGCTACATAGACAGGAAAACCGGTTTGTAGCTAGTCAATCCCACTTATAAATACATTGTAAAAACTTCTGGCCCCTACATCTAATTGCAACTGCTTATTAAAAGATTTATACCTACTGGCTGGATTGACACACAAAGGCTGGAGTTGGGAGGCTGTTGCCAAGACAACTCATGAGCTCAGAGCCATAAGATGCCACTGATTCTTGGACAGCAGGAAAGGACTTGAGGACTGGTAAGCTCCAAAGTTTACAAGAGGATCAAAACAGTGCTATTTTATTTTTTAACATAAGAAGTATTATGTTTAGGTTATTTTATTTTTTTAAAAGAAAGATGGGCCCAACTCACTGAACCTAGAGATGATTTTAATGACTGAAATCCTAATTCTCACAGTAACTTGCCACAACATTGTGTTTTATGGGGCTGTGTCTAAACAGCAGCGTTATTTCAGAATAACTTATGTTATTCTGAAATAACAGAGTCTGCATCTGTACTACAAGCAGTTATTTTGACAATGTTGAAATAGCAGCGAGCCGGAGGACTTTTTACTCCAACACCTGTACCCCTCATTTTACAAGTAAGGGAAGTTGGAGGAAGAGTGCTCCAACTCAGACTTCCTACTGTGTAGACAATTCCAAAAGTCGAAATAAGCTACACAACTTGAGCTATGTCAAATTGACATAGCTCAAGTTGCATTGCTTATTTCAGCTTTAACCCTGCTGTGTAGATGTGCCAAATGACTAGATTGCAGTCTGACCTGCAATAGGACCTTAAATGAATTTTGAGAAATCTTAAATGCTGTATTTTAGCCTTCCATTTTCATGTAACTCACTTTCATCTTTGCTATATTCTAAGCTATATATCCAGGTAATATATTTTTAATGTTTTCTAACACCACTTTGAACTCAGCAAACCCACAAATGTATCTGGACAAAGTCTATTTAAAGGAAACAGGTTAGCTTTTACTTCTCTTTTTACTGTTACATTGAAATGTAACAGTCAGCTGCAAGGCAGCCTACAATCTATTAGCCTGTTGCTTTCCAACATTTTTTTCCCCGGCCTTCTTCTGAGGCTTTAAACAGGGAAAGGCTTCTGAATTATCAGCATGGGATGGAGTTAGAAGGCTCACATGCTCCCTCAAGGACACAGATATGCTACGGTAGCATTTACCCTGTTCACACTCACACTAGCTGCATTTGGTTTCATTTGAGATTATATAATAAAGCCTTTCACAAACCTATAAATCTTAAATTTCAACGTTAAATGTACATGTTATTGAAATGAACTTGCCATATCTCCGGGTCTGTCTGCAAATCCACCAGTCTCCTCATCCTGGCAAGCCAAGATAAAACAGCGCAATTTCTCTCGATCAATCCAATGCAGTCTACCAATTATCTTCAGGGATGCTAACACCCACCATGAATAACATACATCTGGTAACTGGCAAATATATAAGCATTAACATTTGTTTAATATCAGGGTTGCCATAATAATAGTGGGTTTCATGAAACCACCAGCCACATCAAGATGTCACTGATTGCACTGTTCCTTGTGAAGAAAACAATTCCTCCACACACCTTAGGCACAGATAGCCATTCCTCCTCCTGTCTCGCGGCCGCAGCAGCAGAATCACAAGTGTGCTCCTGCTTTTGAGAACTTGTCTGAAGAAGAGACTAATTTAAATGGTATTTTCATTTTTATGGCTAAGGCGGCCATGAGAGTTTGTGGGCAGTATCAACTAATTTCAGTCTAAAATTTGAAAGCATTTGTCTGCTGTATCCATGAAAAAACTAGTGATAGCTAAGAAGACTCCACTTGCAAGTCAATCATTCCAGATTACATTATTCAGTTGTTGGACACCCAATACATGAATCCCACAAAAAGAATATCCAAAGTATTTTTCTGTTAAATAATGAATGAACGTTTTAAAATCTTGTAATACAGTATGCCTAAATCACCACACTATATTTAGGCCTGATTCAGCAAGCTATTTTGAGGCCTCAATCTATGTTGAGAACATTGAATCTTCCTGATCAAAAGCCCATATTGGATGTTACAGCAAGAGAATCAAGATTAAGAGTAAAAACACTTGAAAAGTTTTGCAACAGCATTTGAAAGGAGGTTCATACATTTTCCAGAAGTTAGAAAAATATTTCTGAATCAGAAATAAAAATAATCTACACTAAGTTTTTTAAAAAGTGAACCAAATACCTTCTCTGGTCTTCCATTGAGACCCCCAGAGGGTAACTGACGTTCACAAAGCCACCAGCCCAGCAAGTCAGCATTTATTTGGTGCAACTGGCCAGTTATAGCCAGAAATCCTGTGCAACAATAGATCTAAAATTACAGACATAAAGTTCATGTGTATTTAAGAACTAAATAGCATGTAACAGACTGTATGTAGAAAGATCATAAAACAGGATTCCATTTTCATGTCACGCTATTAGTTTAAATAAACCAATTAGAAGATTACGTTTTTAGTTTAAAGAGTGAACATACTGCTCCACTGTTATTTTTTCCATCTAATCTAAGGACAACTACATAAACTTTAATACAAAAATTAACTGTAATACTACTCAGTCAATAATGCAAGTACAAGTAATATTTAACTATCATACTCTAGTTGTGATTAAAAAGCAAAATGTTATTTGTAAAGTCCTAAAAGATCAGATGGAATTTAAAATATTTGAGGGGGACTGAATAACATGTAGGTTCTTTTTTCATAAATTAGATTTCTCTACGTAAAGTAAATCTTTCCAGATTATGATGCTCAGCACAATTATGGAATATGAACAGCTGATTATTATGATTAAATCTATAGTGAAATAATATACGTAAAGTTTCTAGAGCATGTCTCACAGGCCATCTTCCTTGGTATTTATCTATTTTGAATTAACTTCGTTTGTAGTCCTTTACCTTACCTCCAGCTAGTCTATCACCTTAAAAGGAATTCCACCAGAATTATCAAGATATTAATCACGTTATTTCTGCAACACACTTTACTGTAGATTCTACTAATCCAAGAGTCAATTCTTTTAAATTCCACCTGAACTTGAATTATAACTATAATTAAGCCAAGTGAGTATTTTGCGCCCTGAAGTTAAAATACTTGGTCAACATGCAAGCCAATGAAAATTCAAAAAATTATGATAGAATTAATCTAACAGAGGAAAAAGTACAGGACTTAATTTCAATGTGCAAGTACTTACCTGCCCTGCATGTGATTCAGAACCTGGTCTACAACCAAATCCTCCATCGAAGTTCATACAGGACAAAACAAATTCGACTGCTTTTTCCACATCAATAACATCTAGCTTCCCCTGCAAGTCAGAAAAGTCACTTCAACATCTTTTATACCACCACCAAATAAATTACTGTAAGTATATCTACTATTGTATCATTTGTCTGCCAACTGCAGAAAGGTATTTATTATCCACCCTATCGCATAACTTACCAAAAGAGCAAGTGTTGCTGCAGCACAGAAAGAGAATCTTGTATCTATTTCTCCTACAAGGGCGGGGGGAGGGGAAGAGAGAAAGATAGTATAACTATAGAGATTATATATTTACACGTACAGTAAGATGACACATTCTATTACAAAATACAGTCACTAAACATGGGCGTTTTCCCAGAAAGTGATCACACTAAACAAATATTAAACGATTTATGTGTTTTTTGTATGCAATTACCAATCCTTTGATCACTTTGTGGTCAATCAGATGAATATCCATGTTTACTTCAGTTAATATTTTTCAGATTATAAAGAGCACTTAGCACAGTCTGTGCACTGAATGGAAAGAGAACTGGTTGATCAATGTTAACTCATTCACCATATTACCCACACTGCTCACTCTCAGCTCCTCAACATCATGATCTGAAGGCTACTCAGACTCAGAACTTTAGGCAAAGCAAAGTAAGCAGCAGTGAATCCTCAAGGAACACACTGACACCAGTCTCCACAATGCTCACAGTCCTCTGGTGTGAAGGCACAAAGAAAGATGGTCTCTTAGGCCAGGCTTACACTAGAAACCTTACAATTATAGTTTCATCAGTTAGAGGAGTGAATTTTAGGACATGTAGAGGCAAAAATGTCCTACTGTAAAAACAGTTATATTTTTAAACTGTCTGTATTATTCTGCTACGGGAACTGGTAGGTATACCCAGAAAAGCTGTTCATGCAATAGCAGGAGTTGCTAATAGGAATGTAAAATCCCAGTTAACCAGTTAAACATTTGGGCAGGCAGAGAGTAACTGGTTAACCTTTCACATCCCAAGTTGCTAAACCAGTAATCCCTTTTCCAACATAGATTAGGCCTTACTATTTAGAACGCAGGTCAACACTTTAAGCTGCACCTAGACACAAACAACAAATAAGTGTAGTGTTTGCAGAAGAGGTATAATATGCTTGTTGTAACTCCTATCATCAAGCAAGCAGGTAACCACATTCTGTACAAGCAATAACTTCTGAATTCTCAACAGTGGCCTCATTTGTAGTGCATGTCACTAATGCACTTGTATAAGTTTACATAAAGTGTGTGTCATATCCCTTCCTGTGTATTATTACTATAGTAATACAAGCAATGTACACCATAACTTAGAAATCACTAAATATTAAATGTGGTACAATTTGCTTTAGAATGAAATGGCAATCTCCATCACAATCACTTCTAAAAATTTTTGAATTTTCAGTAACTTCAATGAAGGTTGATCCATATTTGTTATTTAGTTCCATTTTTCTATGCTTTTCTAGATGACTAAATGTAATGACAGCTAGGCTGGCTCTTTCACACAGTCAGAAGCAAATAAATGCAATTAATGCATAATACACAGTAAAAAAACATGGGGAGCAACTTGTTCTTAACAAGTTGCATGGCACGTGTCAACCCATTCAATGGATCTTGAAGATTAAAAAAGTTACCCCATTTGTCTCCAGCAAATGACCCGTCTTCTTTTTGCAGGCTCTTTACATAGTCAACAATTTTATTTACATCAACAACATGGAGACTATCATATAAAGTAAGAATCTGCAAAATAAGAACAAATCAATTACTATAAGGGCAAAGTTCCCCAGAATTTACCAGAGAAACAGAGCCCTAGTTTTCTTAAAGAACACAAAACTTTTGTTGTCCATGAACATAAATCACTAAGTTTTTCATTACAGTGAACCCTCGTTTATCGCGGTAGATAGGTTCCAAACCCGACCGCGATAGATGAAAATCCGCGAAGTAGGATCCTCAAAGCCTCGGGGGAAGCCGGCCGGGGGGCATCCCAGGCGCGCCTGGGCTGCTCCCCCGCCGGAGCCCCTCCGCGGCTTTCAAAGCCTCGGGGGAAGCCGGCGGGGGGGGCATCCCAGGCGCGCCTGGGCTGCTCCCCGCCGGAGCCCCTCCGTGGCTTTCAAAGCCTACTTCGCGGATTTTCACCTATCGCGGTAGGGTTTGGAACCTATCTACCGCGATAAACGAGGGTTCACTGTATATGTACAGTATGATGGGGGCTAATTTGGCTATGACAAATCAGGAAAGAGATCTTGGAGTTATAGTGGATAGTTCTCTGAAAACTTCCACACAGTGTGCAGCGGTGATCAAAAAGGCAATTAGGATGCTAGGAATTCGCGGTTCGACCATCGCGGATTCACGTATATACATAATGTAATGAAAAAAGTCCGCGAAGTCGTGAATCCGCGATGGTCGAACCGCGAAGTAGCGAGGGTTCACTGTACCATGAAAACTCCAACCTACTTAACATAAGCTCATATCCTTAAAATGTTTTAATTTTCAAATTAAGATGAAGAGACCATGCATGGTCTCTTCATAGTCTGTTTCTCCCCTGGGCCTTAGATTCCCTACCCCTGTTTTAAATAGTAATTTGAGTGAGGCTGGCCTCATTGAACGTGATATTGATTTATTAAACTCAAAGATTTAGAAAGATTTGAGGGACATATTTTTACAAATGTAAATAAAATAAGTTATCACAACTTAAAGACTGTCAAACTTGAGAAGTATAGAGTCATCATCAATAAGCAGTGTATGCTTGGTAACAGTGACAAGAATTTTACACTATGAAATTTTAATTAAAATCATACTATAGGAAATAATGCAGGTGATTTTTTCTGTAAGGCTTTGTCTACACTGCGAGTTTTTGTGGCACAAAATATACTAATGAGGGATTTATTAGCATGAGTCGTGATATCAGCATATTTTTGGCCATTTCTTTTTGCTCAAGGGGGTTTTGCGCAAAAAGAAGTAGTGTAGCCGTTTCCGTTTTGTGCAAGATCCTTATGTCTGCCCTGGAGAGGCATAAGGATCTTGCTCAAAATGGGGGTTTTGCGCAAAACGGAAGCGGCTACATTGCCTTATAATCCTGCTTTAAAAAAAAAAAAAAAGTCTTAGAAAAACCTTTAGGCTTTGTCTACACAGCAAGTAAATATGCTAATGAGACCCTCATCAACATGAGTCCCAATATCAATAGCATATTTTCTGCCATTTCTTTTTACATGAGGTTTTTGCGCAAAAAGAAGCAATGTAGCCGCTTCTGTTTTGCTCAAAACCCCTGTTTTGAGCAAGATCCTTATGCCGTTCCAGGACAGACATAAGGATCTTGTGCAAAACAGAAACGGCTACACTACTTCTTTTTGCGCAAAAACCCCTTGAGCAAAAAGAAATGGCCGAAAATATGCTATTGATATTGCGACTCATGCTAATGAGACCCTCATTAACATATTTACTGGCTGTGTAGACAAAGCCTAACGGTTTTTCTAAGATTTTTTTTTGAGCAGGATTATAAGGCAGTGCAAAGAGAAGAATTTCAACAAATCTAATCTTGGGTGAAAATGTATCTTTATATAATTATTGCAATTTAAATCCAATGCAGTTGCAGAAAACAAATTAGCAACTTCATAATTCCAGCTAGCGTTTGGAGTAATCTATATTTTGCAGTTTACAGCGTGTTGCAATATGCTTTTTTTAAGTTAAAGAAAACAAGGGGGCCATGCCCCTTGCATGCTACACTTGCCAAACCACCACCACGCCCTTGTTGGGGGTAGGCAACCTCAGCTCTCACCAGTCACTGCCAGGCCGCGGCTATGCCCCCCCAGATCCTCTCTTCCTTCCTCCCTGCTGCTGGCAACCTGGGCCCTCTGCCCCTCCAACGCCCACAACCTAACCCAACCTCCCTCAGTGAGCCCAGCTCTCTCTCCCAGCTGTGGGGTGGAGCGGGAGGGCACCCATGCAACAGCTAGGCACTGGAGAAAGGGGAGGGAGGAGGAGGAGGCAGGTGGGATGCAGAGTGACAATGACATCAATCTGTTGTCCCCCAAGAAAAGGTGTGGTTTTTTTTTTTTGAGAGAGAAACAGAACACAGGATGGAAATATTAATATTAAAATGTTGCAATTTTTTAAATAAAGATAGGAAGAACAGAAATTAAGCTTCACATGGTAACTTGCACTTATTTCGTATTTTAGATTAGCACCTTAGAACTCTTAATATACAAAGCACATGAATACAATATATGCAAACAGGTTTAGCTTAACAGATAAAAGAACCTTAGATAAGCATTTATGAACTTTACTTCAAATTTGCCAATTTAATTCTCAGTTTAGATTTTTATATTTAGGCTGCAATCTATTGTTTTACCACCTTGTCATAACATCAATATTAAGAACAGCTAGTTTACATAAATGGGAAGGATCTCAAGACTTATTCCCTCTCTACTGGGCTGGAAATTCCATTTACAAATATTTTGGCTAGCCAATGGGTCCAGAGTGTGCGGTAAACAATTAAGAGACTTTGAGAATAATTTTTTGCCCCGGACTTATGACAAGCAGAAAATGTAGATCTCTACTTAGACCGTAAAAATCCAAACAGTTGGGACTCACTCAACCTTAGAAGTGGACACAGCAATTTTCTCAGGTCTCAGAGTAATTCTAGAGCTAAAGCAATAATCATCAACTTTAGAATCAGGTAATACATGCCAAGACTCATCATTGGCCTGAGAAATTCCTAGCCTCATCTCTAAGTACCATATAGATTTACTCCATTACAACCTATACCACTAGTTCCCTATAAGTGTCTTTCATGCAACACAATGTGTAAGTGTCATTTACATACATATGGTCCCAGCTTGACCAACACTGTTTATATTAACTTCATCCAGTTATTTTTAGGATGTAAATATTGATCGAAACAGTTAGCCAGGTAAGTGATTAAAATTATATTATTTAACCGGTTAACTGCAGGTAGGAGAAGGGCAGCCTTGGGGGAGAGAGCTCACTGTTGCTGCGGCATGCATGTTGGCCTGGATCCACTGGGGCCAGGGTGACTCCAGCACTGCTGGGAGCTGGGTCCGGGATGGCCAGATCCAGGGCTGCTGCTGCTGCTGCTGCTAGTAGCCAGGTAGGCTGGGGATACGGTTCAGTTGCGAGAACCAGGGTCACAGCCAAGTGTGGAGCTACAATGCAGCCAGGGCAGCTGGGGTGGGTGAGAACTGAGGCCATGGAGCAGCCAGGAATAGGGGCAGCTGGAGCTGCCAAGAACTGGGATCCATGCCAGGGCTGCTGTGGGTAGATTGTGCCTGCCATCCCGACCTCCTGGGGTTCCTGTCAGCAGCTGCATGGAACTGGCAGTCTGGTTAACCAGTTACCAAATAAGCATTCCAATAAGTGTAATGCGTATCAGGTAATGGGTCAATCTTTTACATCCCTAGTTTTTATAAGTGTTTACAGGACCTTAGAAAGAAGGCTGTACACTAGGGGCAGAGAACCCTTTTTGGGTGAGGGCTGCTGACCCACAAGGGGGGGAGGGAGAACCACTCTGGGGCCGCACACAAGATTAAAAAACAAAAATTCTCTCACTGATCCAGCTGAGAAGCAGAAAGACACTCCACACATTCCCCTCACACACCAGAGCTAGAAAGGCCCAGGCTAGTAGATTTTGCTCCAGTCCTGCGGTAGGAGGGGCTGGAGCACTAGCACGGGCATCCCTATGCCAGGGGAAGAGGAGCCCTGAACCTCAGGGGCCAGATCCAGGCAAGCCAGGGGTGGCTAAACTGCATTTGAGAGTTAGATACTGTTCTTTTACAGTTAAAGAGTGACTCTCACAGCTCCAGCCCATTGGGACTTGAGTGCCCTTCCCTATCTCCTGTAATCAGTTAAACAATGTTTAACCAGGTAACCAATTAAACAGGTTTCACATCCCTAGGTAATGTTAGCTTCTAGTGAAGATGGTACAACTCAAAGGTTTGCCACCCTCCACTTCCAAAAAGCTTGAGTCACACCTCTTCAGACACATATGTCCCTTTTATCCAGCACAGCTTTTCCCTGCAGCTATTAGGTATCAGCTCTGTATGAAGAAGTAGTGGCAAATAACTTCTGCAGGGAGGAAGCTCTGCTTTAGCTCAGTAAGGAGAGGAAACAGCAAAAGCAGTAGCTCTCCCTGCAATTCCCAGCTGTTTGCCATTCACTCAGTTCCTAGCTTGCAAGTTTCAGCAGCTGCTGTACAGAAAGGTGCAGCAGCACCATGTGATCAAGCAGGGCAACAAACCCTGGTGAAAATGGGGAAGGGAATGTGACCCATGTATCCCCCTCACACATCACCTCTCGCTTCTGGCCAGTGGCGGGGGGAGGAGGTGTCTCAACCTTGCTGAGTGCACATGCTAAGGCTTATGGCTTCAGCACCACATGGCACATGTTTCCAGGGCTCAAGACTTCAGCA